AATAAATCAAATGTAATGAAAAATAAAATAATGAAATTAGACAATAACAAGAACCTGAACAAAATGATGATCTATGAGAAAATGAAATGAAATAAATATGAAATAAAGGGATTTTTAAAAAATATTGAAACAAAAGGAAAACAATATAGATAAAAATATAATCAAGTGTAACCAAACCAAATGCAACAAAATGGTGGAGTGAAATGACTTTGAAAGAAGAAATTTGGTTAAATTAAATTAAATTAATTTTAAATAATGTATTTATGAAATATTATATAATATAATTGTAATGCTATTAAATATACTGTATAAAGGTAATGTAAATATAAGAAAATAATGAAATGTAAAGAATTGAAATATGATGATGAAAAGAAACAAGGAAATAAAACAAGACTATGACGTGGAATTAAAAATGCAATGAGTTGAAATAAAATAAATATCATGTGATGACAGGAAATATATAATCAAATACAATGAAGTGTACTTAAATGAGATAAAGAGATATAAAATTAATTTGAAGTGGTGCTATCAAATGAAATAATAAACTGAAATGAACTAGTATGCCATGAAATAATGAAAATAAGTGATAAAATCACGATGTCATGATTATTGAGTGACAGAAAACAAATCGTAATATAATAATGAAATAATAAAAAGAAATTGTGGGTTTGGGATTTAGCTCATTGGTAGCACACTTGCAAGGCCCTGGGTTCAGTTCTCAGCTCTAAAAAAAAAAGAAAGAAAGAAAGGAAGGAAGAAATTGTGTTAAAGCAAAATAAGACTAAACACAATGCTATGAAGAAGTGAAATTATGAAATAAAATAAAATACAATGAAATGTAACATAATAAAAAGTAATGGAAAAATACAGCAATTCAATGATGAAAAGAGGCAAAATCAAATGATGCTCAGATGAGTAATGAAATGAAATAGAAAATGAATAGAAATGATGATTTTATAAAATAGTAAAACAAAATGAACCTGTGAAGTGGAATAAAGTAAATAATTTCTTGTAAAAATGTATTATAATGTAATAAAATGAAACGAAATTGAAAGATGAAATTTAATTTAATTTAATGGGTGTAAAATAATGAAATGAGATATTGGGGTGGTGAGGAACTGAAATCATAAGATGACTTGGGATTGAAATAATAAAATGAGTTGAAATGCAGAGTAAAGTCATGTAGTGACATGGAGCACATGCAGTCATGTGTAATAAAATGCAATTAAATGTGATAAAAAATGAAATGAAGTAGTATGACATGAGATAATGAAATGAAAAGAAAAAAGATGATGGGGTGATGTAAGACTGATATAAAAAGAAGTGACATGTGAAAATGAAAAGATATAAAGAAAAAAATGAAATTTGTTGCAGTGATAAAGTTGAAATGTAGTTCACAAAAGGGGTGAAATAATGAAATATGATGCAAAATAAATATAATATAATCAAATATCTTGAAGTCATAAAATGATCAGAAGAAATGATGAAAAACAGCTAAACAAAATGAAGATCAAATCAGACACTAAAATGAAAAAAAACCTAAAATGACACGATGCTTTAATGAACTATTGGAAGGCAATGAAAATGTGGACAAAACCTAGTGTATGAAAGAAAGTGGGCAGAAATATAATGACATTGGAAGTATAAAATGACACAAATGACAGGATGAAATGAAGTGAGATTTAATGACTGCAATTAAGTGTATTGATTGTAATGAAATGTAATGAATTGAAATAATGAAATGTTGAAAAGAAATAATGAATATTATTATGACATGGAATTAAAATAATGAAATTAGTTGAAATGAAAGGTAATGTCACACAAGGACATGAACTGCCATGCCATCAGTAAAATAAGTGTAATCAAATGAGATGCAAAGAAATAATGAAATATCAAAGTGATAAGAAATGAAATAATATACCAAAGTGAGCTGCTATGACATGAAATAGTGAAATGAAGAAATGGAAACAAAGTACTCAAGGGGTGGTGATGGGAGGTGATGAGTGATATGAGTACAATGAAATAGGAAAATGAAGTCTTCCTTTGAGCGAACTTTGTGTGCCTGGGTTATTTCAGATCTAGTTGGATCCTACAACAGCTATAATAAAAAAAGGAAATGATGAATGAATTGATGCAGAGAAGCTACACAGAACGGTCAAATGGGCTACTGACACAAAATACAAATTAAAATGCCTTTATGATTTTATGGCATCAGGAAAGGAAAGGAAACTGAACTGAAAGCTAGTGAATGATTGTAATGAGAGAAAATGGGTTGAAAGGTAATGGAAGTTAAAGAAATAAAATGATGTGTGAAATGAAATTCAAAGATAAAATGAAAATGAAATGAAATTTAGTGAATACAGTGAGCTATAATGCAGTGAAATATAATGAGTGAGAACGACACAGTGATGAGAGGGACTAATGGAAGGAGATGCTGTTATGAATGGACTTTAAATCATGAAAAGAGTTGACATGAAACGTAAAGTCATGTCAGGACATGAAATGTCAATTAATTAAGTACAATGAAATGTAATTAAATGCGACGAGAGAAATACTGAAATGAAGGGACTAAATGAAGTGAAAAAAATACCCTAAAATGAACTGATACAGCATGAAATCATGATTTGATGAAAGGGTGACGATGTGACCTAATGAGTGACATAAAACGAAGCGAACTTTAATAGTGAAATGACAGAAAATAAGATGAAATGCAACGTGATAAATAAGTGAAATACTGAAAGGAAATGGAATGGAGTGCAATGAGTTGAAGTAATTTGATGGATATAAAAGGGAACAAGGGCTGGGCAGTGGTGGTGGTGCATGCCTTTAATCCCAGCACTCGGGAGGCAGAGCCAGGTGGATCTCTGTGAGTTCGAGGCCAGCCTGGTCTACAGAGCGAGATCCAGGACAGGCACCAAAACTACACAGAGAAACCCTGTCTCGGAAAAACCAAAAAAAAAAAAAAAAAAAAAAAAAGGAAATTTAGTAATACTATGACATGGAATTAAAAATGCAGTGAGTTTAAATAAAATGTAAAACCAAGTGAAGACAGAAAATGACATATAGCAACCTACAATGAAATGTGATTAAATGAGATGAAAAGCAATAACAAAATGAATTAAAGTGATGGACAGGAAATGAAATCATGTACTGAAATGAACTGATGCCATAAAGAATGGGAATAAGTGATAAGGGGATGAAGTTATGATGTATTAAAATGAAGTAAATGTAATAAGGAAATGAAATGAAATAACAAAATAAAATGAAATTGTGTTAAAACAGAGTAAGTTGAAACACGATCCTGTAAAGAGGTAAAATGAAATGTAACATTATATAATAAAATTTAACATAATAAAAAGCAATGGGAAATACATGAAACAATGAAACAAAATGAATCTGTGAAGTGAAATAAAGTAATAATTTCTTGTAAAAAAATAGAATAAAATATAATCTAATGGAATTAAATGGAAGGATGAAAGTAAAATTTTGGTATTTTATAAAATCATTTCTTTTCATTTTTGTTTCATTTCATTATCCCATCTGATCATCATTTTGTTTTGCCTCTTTTCATTATTTCATTGCATTGTTGTATTTTTCATTACTTTTTGTTATGTTAAATTTCACTTATTTACAGTATTGTGTTTCATCTTATTTTGTTTTCACACAATTTCATTTTAGTTTGTTATTCCATTGTTACATTTCGCTTTATTTTATGTCACTCTATAAATCATGTATGATCCTTTTATCACTTATTTTCATTATTTCATGGTATATTAGTTCATCCCAGTCTATTATTTCCTTTGATGCTATCCCTTCATTTCATGTGATTTCTTTTCGTCTCCTGGAACTGGAGTTGCAGAGTTGTGAACTGCCTTGTGGGTGCTGGAAATTGAACCCCAGTCTTTGGGAAGAACAGACAGTGCTCTTACTCACTGAGACATCTCTCGCGCCCGACCTATTACGATTCTAAAAAAGTATTTACCACAAGGTCTGCCCCGGTGAATGTACCATGCCCTGTGCTGGCTGTGCTGAAGTGATGGGCTTGGAATTTGCAGCCAGTCTCCTGCCTCTGCAGGCAGAGTGCTGGGAGTACAGGTCTGCACCATTGCCCCAGCTCTGCTCTATAAATGAAGCTTTTAAGCAAAAAAAAAAAAAAAACCCAAAAAACAAAAAAACAAAAAAACCTGAAACATTGACCAGAAACGTTAGGTGTTGCTAGAGTTTTCCTGCCTGGCCCACAGTCAGGACAAATCTCTGACACCTGCCAGTCCCACAGCCTCTCAGACCCGACCAAGTAAACACAGAGACTTATATTGGTTACAAACTGTATGGCCGAGGCAGGCTTCTTGCTAACTGTTCTTACAGCTTAAATTAATCCATTTCTATTAATCTATACCTTGCCACGTGGCTTGTGGCTTACCGGTACTTTACATCTTCCTTGTCCTGATGGCAGCTGGCAGTGTCTCCCTCACCCAGCTTCCTGTTCTCTCAATTCTCCTCTCTGTTAGATCCGCCTATACTTCCTGCCTGGCCACTGCCAATCAGTGATTTATTCATTGACCAATCAGCAACACATTTGACATACAGACCATCCCACAGCAGTTAGGCAGTTGTCAGTGCGTCTTTATTTTGAAAGTGGAGGCGTTCAGAAAGGAGCATGCTCGCAGGGAAGGAGCAGTATCCCAAAGGCTTATGTTATTTCTAAGGATCCCTGGTGCCAAAGACAGAAGGGCAGCAGGCAGGTGGGAAGGAGAACACCGGGCAGTAATAAATCCGTTCCAGGAGGCCTGACAAAAACGGGGACTCCTCTCCACCAGCTGGGGGCTGCAGGCCCACCGCACCGGCCTAGGTGCTCTGGGTTAGAGGTCTGGGTTTCCTGCTGTGGTGGAGCACCGAACTGGGGATCAAAGAGGCAGGGGGGCTGATGCAGGGCGAGCCTGCATGGTGGTGCTTCCACCGGGTCCTCCTCTCCTACTAGAGCCTCTGGGTTCCCGCTTCCGGGACAGAAGGCAGAGGACCAGCTTCCAGGCTCGCACTGCACTCTGCCAGAATCTGTATTCCAGGGCGAGCCCGCCAAGCCCTCCGCCTGCCTAGGAGGAGCTTCTAAGCAGGAAGGGCAGCCTTCACTAGCTGAACACTCTCTCAAAGGCCTGAAGCAAGGCGCGCGCCAAGGCTGCAGCCAACCCCAGGTCATAACCCCAGGGGGCTGGGGCGCTGCAAGGGTTCCCCCCCAACCATCCCAATCCTCTCTCACAGGCACAGACCAGACATTTGGCTCCATGGCACAAACAGCACTCCCAGCAGGAGTAGCTTACAGTGTTTTGTAGCGGAGTTTCACACGGTTTCTCTCTGACAGAGCAGGCTTAGTTAGCAATTTGGGTAAAATGAGACAGAGCCGGCAGCAGCTAGCCTGCTGTAATGTCGTCTTATTCGGTTTCTTGGTGATAATTTTTCAATCTTACAGTAATTAGGACAACAGCCCAGGCTTAGTTAGCAATTTGGGTACAATGAGGCAGAGCCGGCCACAGCAGACTGCTGTAATTTCCCTTAAATGATTTCTCTGTGATAATTTTTCAATCTTGTAATATTTAGACCAAAAAAGCAGGCATAGATAGTCAGCAATTTAGGTACAATGAGGCAGAGCCGGCCGCAGCCAGGCTGTGTAATTTCTTCTTATACAGTAGTAATTTTTCTCGGTGATAATTTTTCAATCTTATAATATTTAAGCCAAAGAGACAGGCATGGTTAGCACTTTAGGTACAGTGAGGCAGAGCCGGCCGCAGCCAGGCTGTGTAATTTCTTCGACGGTTTATCGGCGATCGTTTTTCGGTCTTCCGAAGTTCATTTATAACAGAAATTGTTTATCAGTTTGGGTAGAGTGAGGCAGAGCCTGCCTCCGCCAGTGATCTGGCCCTCTTATAGTCTAGCCACCCGGAGGCGGAGCCCTGCTGTCACTAGCTACTCCAGGGCGAGCAAAGCCCAAGGGGGGCGGTGTCTAAGGCGGAGGGTAAGCCCGAGAAGAAGATGGTTTTAATTACGTCGTTCTGAAAAGCCGAAACCGAACGCTACTGCGGAAAAGAAAAGGGTAAGCACATCCACGAGCAAAATGAGCCGAAGGCCGACCAGACCACTGAGAACCCACAGCGAAGTCCGGAAACACCTAAGCTAGGGGCCGACTAGCTGTGAAAATCGCTGGCCTTCACTGAAGGGTAAGGCTAGACTAAGCAAACCCGAAAAGTCGCAGGCACAGCCCAAGAGCCACCCGTGGCCATTTGCTGAGAGAATACCACTCCACCCAGGAGTCGCTGCCTGGCTCTGGGGACCCCGCTGCCCAGGTGATTCGGGCTCTAGAAATGTGTGGCTTTAGGGTGAGAGGGAGCTGCAGATCTCCAGCCTGGCTGTGGCTTTCCGATTGAAGCCATGCTTAGCGGGGGAATACGGAAAGGGGACAGGGACAAGGACAGAATCCAGACAGCAGAAGCCTGGTCCATTGTCCCCTTGAGTCAGGTCTTGTGAGACAGTCCCACTTGGCCCTGCTGGGAATGTCCTGGTGGTGGCTCACCAGGGCATTCCCAGCAGGGCAGTTGCACAGGTATGAAAACCACACAAATGAGCTTTAAAAAGGCAGCTGCTGGCAAAGACCGAGTTTACAACAGCAACAGCATCAAATCTCTGTGAAGACCCAGGTTCCAATTGAGGAGCCAGACCCGCAGGAGAAACTGGCACTCTCCTCATTAAAACAGGCATCCGAAATTCGCTAAGTGTTGGGAACCATATGCAAGTTTTAACTTTCATAAACTTTTGGGGCACACTTAAACTTTTGATTGTTCCTTTTCTTTTGGAACAATCCTTGACCGAGGACAAATTTTTTGATTAAACATTATCGGTTTTCATCTCCAACTACTGTTTATCCTACTTTACTCAAATAGTTTTGTAACTATAACTTCAGACATCTCCTTCTTTGATGGGTTTTCATTATTTCACTTCAACATATATCACTTTATTTCATTTCGTTATTTTATTGCAAGGACATTTAATTTCGTTCATTAAATTTCATTTCATCATTTTATGTCATTTGTTTTTTTACATTCATTACATTTCAGTCCACTTTCTTCCATTACAGTCTTTCACTATCTTTCTCTTTACAGTTTCATTTCATGATGTCATAAAATCATTTACTTTAATTTATTTTCCCAGTTTATCATCTTTTTGTTTAGCTCTCTTCATTTTAGTTCCTTTTTTACTTTTCATTACATTTGACTACATTAAATTCCATTGCATTAAATTATATTTCCTTTCATAGTTTCAATCCCTTATCACGTTGCATTTTCTCTTATTTTGTTATAATATCATCTCATTTTATTTCATTATTTCATGTCATTTCATTGTTACATTTCATTTTATGTCGCTCATTCCGTCCCATTGCCACCCTGGTCACTTCATTTTATTATTTCGAGCCCTGTCTGTCAGTTCATTCTGGGATATTGTTTCACTTCATATCACCTCTTCATTTCATCTAATTTAATTATATTACATTGTGCTTGACTACATTATATATTATATTTATATAATTTCAACACATTTCATTTTTTAATCCCATGTCACAAGTTTCTCTTCATTTCATTTTTTTATTTCATCTAATTCAATTATATTGCATTGTGTTTGACTACATTGTTGTGCCCACATCGAGACCCCCAGAGAGACCACCGAAGACAAGCGTACTGGAATGCAAAAGCAAGGCTTTAATTCGGGATATCCAAGAGTAATACGAGCCTAGGCAGAAACTTCGTCCAACAATCCAACACAGTGGAGGCTGGGGGAAGTGCCTGCCCCTACCACAAGGTTACATCACGTAGGGGTGCTAGTACGGGTACAATTCTGATTGGCTCGCTTCTAGGGACTTTCCAGAAACCTTATCTTTATCTTACTGCTAGGTGGGTGGTTTTCCATCATCATTTCTCATTGGCTGCCCTCAGGTGGGGACATTCTGTGGTTAACAATCACCATGGAGACCAGGATTTGGACACTCTGTACTTTGCACTTTCTAATTCCTGGAATCTGGGTCATCTGGTTCCAGTAACTCAAGGCCTGTTCCAGTAATTCAAGGCCTATATCTAAAATGAAGAAAGTTTAGGCCTTGTTTTAAAAAGGGAGGAGCTTGGGGGCTGGAGAGATGGCTCAGTGGTTGAGCACTGGCTGCTCTTCCAGAGGTCCTGAGTTCAATTCCCAGCAACCACATGGTGGCTCACAACCATCTATAATGGGAACTGATCCCTCTTCTGTCATTCAGGCGTACATGCAACTCACATAAAAAAAATACATGAGTAAAAAAATGGAGGAGCTTTGGTCTCACAACATGACATTATATATTATATATATATATAATATATATATATGATTTCAATACATTTCATTTTTTAATCCTGTATCACAATCTCTCTTCATTTCATCTAATTTAATTTTATTTCATTGTGTTTGACTACATGAGATTATATATTATATTTATATCATTCAATACATTTCTTTTTATCCCATGTCACAATCTCTCTTCATTATTTTCTTATCTCATTATTGTAATTCATTCCACTTAATTATTTCATCAGATGAAATTTAATTGTATTTGTTAAATTTTATTTCATCTTTCCATTTAATTTAATTAACTCCTTTTATTTCATTTCATAACATTTTCATTCATAGTTTTATTTCCTTTCATTATTTCATAAAACAGTGTCATTTTAATTTTTATTTCATTTTAGTGTCTCATTTGATCAACATTTCTTAGCTTTTTCATCACACAAAATTTAATTTCTTTCATTAAGTTTTATTTCTTCTTTCCACTTCATTTCACCCATCATTTTATTTATTTCATTATATTTTAGACCATTTCCTTTCATTACAGTAATCTATAGGTTGCATTTCAATGTTCCTTTTCCTTTCTTTATTTAATAAAATTTCCATTTCATTTTTTATTTCAATTAACTATATCTTTTGAGCACCATTTTCTTCAGCCTCTTTTCACTGTTTTGTTTCATCGTTTTACTTTTTCACTGCATTTGCTTTGAATTGGCATTTCATTGCATTCCACTCTGTTTCCTTTCATTAGTCAGTTCTTTACTGCCAGGTCCTCCTTCCATACTACTCTGTTATGACACCATTTCACTGTGTTTGCTGTATTCATTATTAAGTTTATTTCACTCATTATATCACATCATAACAATTCACCCTATCATTAATTCATGTTGTATCAGTTCCTTTTAGTATTTTATTTCATTTCATGTTATCATTTCATTTCAATTCATTATTTCTTTCAACTCGATTAATTACACTTCATCATGTTTGTTTACATGACATTTCAGGTCATGACATGACTTGCCATTTCATTTAATCTCATTATTTTAATTGCAAGTCATTTCATGTCGTGATTCCTTTTCATATAAGATGATAATCTTATTATTTCATTTCATTATATTGCATTTAATCACAAAGCATTAAATTAAATTTCATCTTTTCATTTCATTACATTCCAGTCCACTGTTTTTCATTAGTCATTCACTAAATTTTAGTTAAGTTTCATTTCCTTTCATAAAATCATTTCATTTTAAGTTCTGTTACACTTGAGTGCATGATTTGACCTTCGTACTGTTCAGCATCCTTATGTCATTTCACGGTATCATTTTATTATTTCATTACTTCTCGTTGTATTATATTATCTTATGTCTCATCAGTTCACTTCTTTATTACATTGCTTTTTAACTTTTATGAGACCATTTATTTTATGTCATAATTTCAAGTTGATTCCTTATCACATGTCACTTCTTTTTATTTTCATTTTTTGTCACTCATTATGTCACACCATCATCCTTTCACTGATTAATTTTATTTTTTAAAATGCATTTAATTACATGTATTTGATTATAAGACATTTCATGTCATTCCATTTCATTGCAGCCCATTTCACATTATTTTAATTCCATGTCAGAATACTTTTTCTTTTTCTTTTTTTAATTTTTGGGTTTTGGAGACAGGGTTTCTCTGTGTAGCCCTAGCTGTCCTGGAACTCATTTTATAGACCAGGTTGATCTCAGAGATCTGCCTGCTTCTGCTTCCCCAGTGCTGGGACTAAAGGCATGCACCACATGTCCAACTCCATACCGATTCATTTCATTATTTCCTTTCCTCACCATCCTGGTATTTCAATTTATTACAATTAAGATTTCATTACCTTGTATTCAATAGAATTCATTAAGTTTAATTTCTTTTCATCTTTTAAAGTCATTTCATTCTTCCATTTTGTTGCATTTTTTAGGTTTCATTAGATGACATTTCAATCCGTTTTGTTGGTTTTTTTTTTTTTTTTTTTTTTTTTTTTGGTTGTTTGGTTTGGTTTGGTTTGGTTTTTTCTGAGACAGGGTTTCTTTGTGTAGTTTTTGGAGCCTGTCCTGGAACTCACTTGTAGACAAGGATGGCCTCGAACTCACACGAGATTCACCTGCCTCTGCCTCCCAAGTGCTGAAATTAAAGGCATCACCAGACTCAGTTCATTATTTTAATTCCATGTGTAATCTCTCTTCATTTCAGCATTCCGTTGTATCATTAACTCATTATTTCAATTCATTCCATTTCAGTATTTGGCTTCAGGATATCTAGTTGCTTTCAATAAATTTAATTTCATCCCATCACTTTTATTTTTTCCATTTCAGTCCGTTTTCTTCCATTACAGTCACTATGTTCAGTTCACAGTTTCATTTCCTTTTGCTATGTCATAAAAACCACTGTGTGCTTTCAATTCTTATTTTATTTTGTTGTCTTATTGATCTTCATTTTGATTAGCTTCTTCTCATTGATTCATTCCATTGTGTTTTTTTTTTATTTCACTCGAAAACGTCACCGTTCACTGCATTACATTACATTTCATTTCTATGTTTCACTTCTTTATCACATGGCATTTCATCCTATAATGTTATAACACAATTTCATGTTATTGTCTCATTTCAGACTTCATTTTCCTATTTCATTGTACTCATATCACTCATCACCTCCCATCACCACCCCTTGAGTACTTTGTTTCCATTTCTTCATTTCACTATTTCATGTCATAGCAGCTCACTTTGGTATATTATTTCATTTCTTATCACTTTGATATTTCGTTATTTCTTTGCATCTCATTTGATTACACTTATTTTACTTGATGGCATGGCAGTTCATGTCC